ATACAATGAACCACAGATCAGTGATTTTACATGATGGAACATTGCCAATGATTCAGTCAAAGGTCTGAATAGACAAAAATAATTAACCAAGTTTGTGTATAGCGGAACTAACACAGATTAAACTGAAAATAAAACTACCAGATTACCAAAATGTCAGATCAATGGTATGGAACACCCTCCTGACAGGTTCTTTATCTCACTCCTCCTCCCCATGGGATTACAGGGAGAAAAACGTTTTCTCTAGGAAGCAGAAAGTAAAGTGTCTAGTTTATAAAAAGCATGAAGATGTATTTGATAACAATAACTGTGAGAAAGTCAACAAATCAACATGGGAACATGACAGTACCTGCAACCAGCTACATTGCCCTGTAACAACTGCACATCCATCAATCATTTCTAACTTTCCAAGACAACACTGATGAAGAGGACTGTTAATTGACTGAGGTGAGAAGCTTGTTTAATTTCCATCCACTAGTTCTTAAATCCAGATCTAAGACAGTCACAAATGTGGATGGCAATATGCCTGCTGACATCTTTAACTGTATGTAGTTCTCTAAAATATTAAAACCAGTAAAGGTACACTGGAATTTCCAATAAAAGTAAAAAGTGAAAACAAGGAAACAGTGCCCTGAACATCTTAATAATAAATTAGCAAGTTAGACAAAAGGTGAATATTTTCTCCCCTCAGGAGGTTTCTTCATGTGTAAATTTACATAAAAATGCCTCAAAGCTGCAGTACAACATATTAGGGTTAGAACATTAGATACTTAGAAAGCATTCTATCCTCCAAATTAAAACCAGATCATGCAAATCCCGATACCATTTATTCTTTCTTTTATTATTCTCTGTATGTGAACTCCCATTACTTAATAAAACCTATTTGTAAACACAAGCACCTTTGGATCTTGCATTGACTGCATAGGCTCCTGCAGTCTGCACTGCAACGCATGCTGTAGAAGGAATGTATTACACTGTTCACAAGTTTGGTGGTGTTAATCCATTAAAGTAGTATTAAATTTGCATCAAAATTCAGTTTAAAGAGGGTTCAACGTAATTATAATACTTCAGTTTTTGACATTTTATATTCTGCAGATGTCAGAAACACTTACATTAATATAAAGCTTGGCCCCTGCTAATATTGTGAGGCTGAGGAATGGAATAGTTAAGATGCACTGCCACTTTACTTATCATTATTTTCAAAGCATTAAATGACATCAGTGATAAAATATTCATCAGGATTCATTTACAAAAAGAGCGAGAGGCAAGTGTACACAATCACTCAGTCATAAACAGCCATCCGCAGTCATTCACACAATCAGCAACATAAGAAAATGAGTGTTTATTTCCCCTGAGACATTACATACTTTCCAATAAAGAGCAACCTTTGGACAAATATTAAACAACATACCTGATGGAAATTAAGCTGATGCAAAGTTTAAAAATACATAATGAAAATATATCTTATAGATAATGGTGAGGGTAGATAGAATTCCTCTCGCTATGATTAATGTGATCACAATTCCTTGATGGACTGGGATTAATTTTCCAGTACATCCCAGAATAATGGCCCAAATTTGAAAGTGTAAATGGTTCCCACCAGAATTGAATGTGAAGTCTGCACATTCAAATTCAAGCACTGAGATTAAGTTCAAGGTTAAAGCAACATTTCGATTCACAGTCAAATGCCCTCAAAAATACAGGCAAGTTAAACATAGTATTCGATTGGCTTGGTTTGCAGCAGCTTCACTGACTGGAAGCCTTTGGTTAATGAATCATGGCACCCAGATCCTTCCCTTCTCCACCTGGGTACCACGAGTGCCAAACAGCACAACCTTGCAGTTATCTTCAAATAGGTGGTCTGAAGGTCATAGGCAAGGTCTCCATAAAGAACAGACTTGATAGGACAATTACTGTTTCTTATTCAATGCTTTATGCTGGATCATCTTCAGTTGGAGACTAAGTCAGGGACAACTCACAATCCTCTCCTAAAGGTTTGGGAATTTGTCTACGTATCCGAGAATGCAAACCTCTACCCAGTGAACGCAATTTAAGACTAGACTCTGCCTTTGACAGCATCTTGATGATTTTTTTCCTTTTAAATAACAGGTTGGTGCAGCAGAAGCCATGCTGCAGCAGTGTGCGTGCATGCGTTAGTAAGACTCTTTCTTTCTGAACGATTCACTTTATATTAAGATCTGCCTTCTAGCTGGCATTACTTGATGAAGACATTTGCTCCAAAATAAAGAAAAGGTAAAAATAGTACTGAGATCACATTTTATTATTATCTCCTACACAAAGTTAGTACACACTAAACCATCACCACCGGGGAAAACTGCAGCATGCAAAGTACAATAGCAGACATTGTTTGCTCCAATGAACCTGGACAAAAATAAGTCTGATCTTATGACAAGATGAAGTTTTCAACTCATAATACTATTCTGAATGAATGCAATAGAATATTACGGCATAGATAGTTGTTTCACTTGCACTGGATTTTCCAAATTAAACTATGTATATGATTGATAACCTTAGAGCAATTTAATATTCTCAAAAGTATGGTTCTAGAAGTCTTTCACAAAGCAATTTTGTTTGGCCATTATGCCAGTACGTGCTCCAATACCATCTGCCTGGAGAACAATAACTTTGTCTTAAAACATTTCAGTGAACACAAAATATATCAGAAGTATGATTTAAGAGTAATCCAGAGGTTTAATATGTTTCAATTTAATCAACAAATGGGGTTAGCTTCCCCTGGCAACAACGCAGCATGTAACATTCAGTATTCCCGGACAACACAATATCCCGGCTGCACCGCCTTGCTACGCTGTCTTCACATTCATAGGACTAAGTGTAAACCTGTTATAGCAGTGCTGTCCCTAATTGTAGACAGAAGCAAGCCCCCCATTATGTACAGGCTTCATAGCAGATTAATTTAACATTGTTTTTTGCCTCAACAATGCCCCAAAGTGCCAAGCTCCCAGTTAGTTTGGCTTGCTATTGTGAGTAGCACTTGGCTCAGGGTTGATGCATGCTTTTACTTTGCAGGGGCACAGTTTTGCTGAACACACATCATAGACTCACCATTTACTACCAACCTTTAAAACATTGCCTTCAGACTTCAGATGCAAGGACAAACCTACCAAAAGGGCAGCCTAGCTACAATGAGGAATCATTTGTTATTAACATGTTAGCTGCTTTAAGGGTGATTTGTCAGAGAAGTTCACCTTGGAATCAGATAAGCCTTCCAACAGAGGAATATGCAGGACTGGAATAGTGTCCAGTGTTACACTACTCTAGTACTCATATGCTTCAAATGAATCCCTTCACCTAACAGCTATCTAATTCCCTCTTAAAACTGCTGACACAGTCTGTGCCTACAGGGGATTTATTTCACATTTTCACCCTCTGTATAAAGACACCGTCTCCATCTCACTTAATGAAACTGCCAATTTGCTGCTTGCAGTTTTTCTGCAAAGATGCCAAATAGATTTACATGGAACTCTGTCAAATGAGAGAGTGTCATCCCAGTCACCTGAACTAAAAGCCGGTGAATAGTCATCCACCACAAGATTTGGCCAACAACTCCTAGCGGCAAATTTATTAGTTAGTGTTTGTGATTGTTCATATAAAATAGATGCATTTATAGTATGGAGGAAAATTAAAAATAATTTATATTAATGTACTGCACTCTGGTGCTATCTTTAACAGGACAGTGGACCAATGTTCCCAATCTACACCCTTTAATGTTTCAGTTACTATGGCATCTGAGCGATCAATGTTCCTTATGGAAATTTCATTTTTTTTTAAAAAAGCCAGAATGAGCAGTGAAGTATTCTTTTTATTTCTGGTGATCTCTCTCTCATTCAACTCAATGTTTTATTCATACCAGCCTCCTGATCTGGAATAGTTTTCCAGGAGAACTTGCCAGCAACTGTCACCATTTTAGCAATACTGCTATGATCAATGCTCCTATGAACTTTTTGCTTGTTCCTCCCAAGCTCCAAGAGCATATCCTACGCACAAATACACACACGCAACCCGCAGCCCCTTTATGCTGATAAGATTCACTGACGGAGACCACGCTAACCTAAATCTGCAATTTCTGCCACAGGAACTCAATTGTTCAAGTAGCGAGTACATGAATTTATGCACTACTAATAAGGAATTAGAAGTTCTGGTAAATTCACAAGGATGATACTACAAACAAATAGATATAGCACCTGCTCATCAATTTCAGAACCAGTTTCCATTTGACAATGGAAAAGTAACACGTATTCATTCAATTGGTTTAAAAAAAGGATACTTTTTAGAAAAGTAAATATTTAAAAATCTCCAAAATATATGGCCTTAAGTTAAATGCTAACAATGTGTTATTGAAGCGTCCACAATTCATGATCCGAACTGAAATCTGATAAAAAGTCGTCCTCCAAAATCTTAACTCAGAATCATCTTTCTTGAACAGTTTGTTTGTGATGGAAAAATGTCATTACTACGTAAAGTAATTTTTTTACTCTGAAATTTTACACTGGTAAGAACAGTGAGAATTGTAAGACACAGAAAGAAAAGCGTGTAACATGCTTTTAAAATGGATGGTGCCCCACACACACACGCACACAGACACACAAGATACACCCACTGTCCATCACCACGAGACAAGAGAGCAAAGGAGGATACTTTCATCCACTAATGGAATGACATCTCATTACACCATTAAGTTGTACAAGGCATGTGAATCCTCAAGTAAAATATTTTCTAACATTTCCTTTTTAAGTAGCTGGAAGAGTCCACCTTTCAGCAGAAGTCGTGTTGCAACAACATGGAAGAAATTCTGAAGGTACATTTTACATGTCAAGCAGAATAATCAGTTGTCCCTGTTTTCCTTACAAGACACCTCTTGGCCTTGCAAATAATGATTTCACAGACAGACTAAACACATTAAGTCAGAATAAGCCACAGTTCTTGTGACTGATTATTTTAAAAAACACAAAGCAGCAGCTTACCTCTAGGATATATTTCTCCAAGGATCGAATGTCTTTCAGAGCTTCGGAATCCTGGTGAATGACTACAACTTCCTTCAATGGATACTGAGGGGAAAACAAGTAATTTTGCTCTTTTGTAACAGAGATTGAACAAAACTAGAACTTTAAATGTAAATGTAAAACATTTAAAATAATCAAAACCTATTTAAATAAACAAAGTAAACTCTGAATTATTAAAAAAATGAACAATAACACTCACTGTTTGGGTGGACAGATTGATATTCAGGGACAATTCAAACCCAATGCCCATTGGTTGTGCTGCCATTGCTTGGCTTGATTGGTAGATTGAAAAAGGAAACCTCCCACAAATGATAGGTGGTAAAAAAAACAACGACAAACCTTGATTGGCAAGGTCTTCCTGTCTCGGATCACCCGTCCAAGTTCAATAACTGACTGCATTTGTGCAACTGCACCTTCGATCCGCTTGTCAATGACAGACTCGCTGGAACAAAATAACATGTTCAATCAAAGACCTTTAATGACTGTGCATAGTTTGGTGCACAGTGTGCTTACAGCACTGCACCCACCATTCCCAATTTATACTGGTGACGGATCCCACAACACTAACATTGCTGACAAGTTTCTCCAGCTAAGAGTCACAGGAAGGTATTTCACTGTAACAGTACTACACAATCAAAATCCTGCAAGACTACAAGCTCAATTTCACTCGTTTTAAAAAATAGGCTTGAAGTGTTTTTTCAAACCATAGAAACCACTCAAACTACAAGTCGTGCACAATGTGTTGCTTTTTCTCACCTTTGTATATGGGCAACAGGGGAATACATTACCCAACCTAAACTCAGATTGATCACCAACCCAAAGATGATGTTAACTGGGCTTTGTAATGCCACTTAATTTAATGTTCAGAAAATCCTGCAGCATAATAGTCATTTTGAATCACTGCCACCTACAATTGTGATTAGTAGAATGGACTGTAAATGCTCAGGGGGGCAAATAAATTTAAAAAATTAAATGAAAACTCTAGGAGTCCCATTTCATATTGCAAATGTCACCTATGCTTTTTTAAACAATATTAAAAAATTCAAGGACATTTCACTTGACTTTTGGATTATTACTAACATCTTTGCTACTCCATTATTCATGAACAGAAGGGCAAAGTATATTGCACAAAAAATGCTTACAACCATAACCCTCATTTTAACCCTAATATAAAAGCAGGCATCTTCTCCACTCCAGCAGTACCTATTTACAACATTAACAAGGCCATTATGCACCCACTGCTTACAAAGGGAGCTCATAAAACTAATATTTTCCTGCTGGCTCTGCTGATTTGCATTACACTGGACAAATCAATGAACTCACCATTTATTACACCAAGAAGCACAGTATATTCTAACCTGCCACAAAAGGTTAACCTGTACCATGGTGTGCTAGAAATTCTAATTTCATTTGTGAAATGCAAGTCCAAGTGTGATTTGGTTTATTTACAGGTCGCTGGGGAACACTAGAGTAAGTGAGAGAGTAAAAGGAAACCACCTGCTTGGAGATGCACATCTGCATTCAGTCAGAATGGCTGGTGAAGCCCTTTAAAGAATGCATCTTATTCAGAGGCAATCTGGAGAATGTGTATTACTGTGTATTACAGCACACCTAAATTATTTTGGCAATTCTCACATTTAGCACTGTCTCCTCAGAATTATTCTGAACCCCAAATAAAATATATTCTTTTCTAATGATGTGAAGTAACAAAAAAGGTTCCGTACCTGACCTGAGGAAGCATGAGGTAATGAATGCTGCTGACATCTTTTTCTTGAACAGAGGCTGGGTCTATTAGCTGTCTTAAATTCTGATACATCAGCTCAGTAATGAATGGGGTGAACGGTGCCTGTAATATCACAATATCAATTTGTGAAAAAGTGATGATAATGCCACTTATATTACAAACTGCAATTCAACTTTACAAAGTTTCAAAAGAATGTACAGAGAAAGCATCTTTCAAAAAGAGGAAAATGATTGGTTAGTGAGTACTCTTAACATATTCAATCAACAATAGTGGACAGAACAGTGGAAATCAAAAGATTATTATAAATATTACACAACGAGTGATGTAAGACAAAGGCCAATGATACAGATTAAGCAAAACAATTGAGGTCAAATGAATGGTAATTGACAAACACCTAAAACAGATTACAAATCAATGAGAATGGTGATGAGTTGTCAGGCTTGCATGGCTAATTAACATGCGTTTACAGTGTGGAATAGAAAGATATGCACTCAAACACATGGCTGTCTACAAGGAACTTGGAAATTCTACCCCTTGCTCTAGACCTTATATGCAAAAACCTGGAGTGAAGAGAATCAGATAAGCCAGAGGCACAACCTGGTGTAGCACAACCTGGAATAAAGTGAATAAACTAGATTGGTGTGGGACAGGTATGAATTAGTAAGTTACTGCGCTCAGATCACATCTGAAATAACTAGTTCACTGCATGTGAATTAATAACTGCCCTCCCATGTTAATACCTTTCTCAGGCAGGTATGAGCTAAGAATTTGCAGCTTTGCAATTTGGGTCAAGCAAGATGATCTGCGACAACTAGAGCCAAGAATTTCAAGTGACCAATTACTCAGAATGTAACATCCCAATCTGTCCCCTTGTAGCTCTATTAATGAAATACGTTTATCTTACCTAGTGTTTTTTTTAAAAGTTCACATTTTGGACAGATCACAAATTGTTCAGCAGCATATTTTAAACAAATATGGTTTCCTAATTCAACTAGCAAAACTGCACAAATTTAAGAGGCTATTGAAATTAATATCAAAACATTTGAAAGAGAATTGGGTAAACATTTGAAGAGAACAGAATTGGGCACAGGTAAAGGGCAGGGAATTGGGATTAGAGCAGACAGGATCCCTAAATATATCCAGCTCTTTATTTAAGAAACAGAATTAAAAGTTTTAAATTCCACCCCAAATTTCTGACTAATGGCAGTGGCCAAAGCCATAAGCAAGCAGGATCAAAAATGCTGATTGCAGCTAATGCTAAACAAGCTGCTTGCCAGGGGTTTAGGACCCATTGAGATGGCAATCTTTTTACTTTTCACCTTGAAGAGAGATCGCAATCAACTTTGCAAATCAATGGGGGAAAAAAGGAAACAAAAGCAGTAACAGTCTGCTTTATATTAATATTGTTCCTTCACATCTACTATAGAATCTCAAAGTAACTCTGCAGTACCTCAAAGTCATGGCACTGAAATGGTGAAGTAACCTGAAAGATCTAATTTTATAATCACTTGACTATAAAACTAGAGACAATAATTAAACTACTTACCATAAGCCTGCACATATAGAACAAAACACTGAACAAGGTCTCCATAGCTCGCTGGCAGTCTTCACTGCCATTTTCACCCTAAAAAAGAGCAAAGAGAGACAAGTCAACAGGAAATTCTTAACTAAAGGAAAAAGCAACAGTTTACTAAGTGTAGTGCTGACAAAGCTAGGTCATCTAAAATTCAGTTATCTGCAAAGAACATTCTCAAAATATTCATAGGTAGCAGTAGTTTTTTTTAAAAAATCCACAAAAACTTCATGGACCCATTCACTGCACAAGTAAATCCCAGCTTCGTATTGTTTCTCTGGTGACTGAAGCACGAGAAGGCCACAGCATAGTAGTTATCCACTGCCCAGAACACAAATGAAAGGGTTCTATTAAAACTGTAAAGAGACACCACTTTTTCTTGCCCCAAACAAACAAGTGCTATATCAAATGTATGTATTATTATATCTTGAACTCACAGGGTAAAAACTGAAGAGGATTATGTTAGACCTACCTTTAACCTTCTGCGGTTCATTCTCACATACCAGTTGGTTAGCATATCAACAAACTTGATCAGTCTGGGCACCACGGTGTAAAGTTTGTACGCTTTATAAAAAAACAATAATATGCTGCTGTTATGATTTTAGAAATGTTGCTGCATGGATTTTGTCTGAAATTTACAGTATAAGAGGTTTAAGACAATAATTCGCAACAACCGGTTTTAAGTAGTAAGCAAATAGGTTTATTTAATTTTATTTAAAATGGACCCACATTTTCAACCAAGATGTTGTGGGTGCCTGTCACTCAAACACATTTCTTAGCCTAGACCAGGTGCTGTCAATTCTAGTCTTAAACCATACTTACGGACACCTCCTCCCTCCCCCCGGCTCGGCATCAGGCTCGCCACTATTAAGCCCTATATAAATACAAGTTGTCATTATTCTCGTCTGTAATCCAGAAGGAGTTTCAGTCTTCGATGGACAAGAGCAGATTGACAACATACTGCCTGACCCACAAGACCCCAATGAGGGACAGAGAGGCAGTGAGAAGGCCCCAGTACTGCTCATTAGGATGGATTACATATCCTGGAGGTAATACACGACATTACAAACCAATTATTTGCAGCCTTTTAAAAATGTTTTATACATACCACCCATTTCTGCTTTGAAAAACTGGATCAGAGATTGTGTGAATGAAAGTATCCATTTATCCATTAAGTTGTCACTGTTTTCAACAGTGTTTTCATTGTAAAGAAACTGGACACCCTCTTCCTGAAAAAAAACATTTGCCAATGACACTGAGATACCTGAGGTAACTTCACACTGCTCTGCTGTTCGCATTTCAAATTTAAAATCAAATCTATTTTATCCACAGATCTCCACCAATATGCCAATCCACACACATTAGCACATCCACACTCAGGCCACAACCATCTTTCAAGCTCTAGACCCACAACATGAGATTCCTTACCTTATGCAATTGCTGCACATTCTGAACTAGGAATCTGTAGGCATTATACCAAGGCAGGAACACATCCTTTAGAATATCTCTCACTCCATCCTCTTTAAACCGTAAATTTTCTGCTCTCACAACAGGGGAGTTGATAAGATACAACCTGGAAAAAAGCCGGTATTTATGTGCGGAATCTGTATGGCGAAACCAAATCCACTTTGGAAAGATAATCAGAGTAAACTAAATTAAAATCTAATCTTCATTTGTTTTGAAATACAACAAATAGTTTTGATTTGCCCAAAGTTAAATGCAACCTGAAACTGTAGGACTGTTCTTTGCTTTAAGTGTGAGATAATGTACATTTCAAACATAACTGAATAAAAAGTGAAATAGATGATTGCACAAAAACAGTTTTGCATTGCTACTTTAAAACTGGTGCCATAGATGCACTTAGAAAGAAAAAAAGATCAATGACAAGTTTGCAATCATAATGTTTCAGCATGGAAAAAAAAAGGCCATTTGGTCCATCACACCTGTAATTGTCTCCATAAGAGCAAATAATTTAGTCCCACTCCACTGGCTTCCCCCATAACCTTTATTTTTTTCCTTTTCAGATGCTTGCCTAATTCACTTTTAAATGGTCAGAAGGGACTTTTTCATCAGTGCACCTCTTGTGCTGAGGCTCAGATGATAAAATATCTAATAAATTTACGACAAATGTAAGTAAAAGACATTCTAGCAAGTTATGACTCACTTGAATAGGGCTTTTGGAAGAGACTGCTGAACAGAAAGCACCATTTTATAAAATTAGCACTCAGTGACATTTTCGGAATCATTTTATGATGAGGTACACAATGTCATGTTATATCAGGATTTCCATCAGCCATTTGCAACTTAATTAGGTTCAGCAGGTATGTCCTCTTGGGTAACTTCAAACTTTAATGCAGTGTGACAGGATCCATCCTTGGGAAGTGCATTACCCACAATATTGGCAGGATTTCATCAAAGTTACAGGTTTTTAAATAAGAGACTGTAGACTTTTGCTCTCTCTATTTTTAAAATTAATTTTCATGAGTTTGCAGAACCTGAACATAATCACAACTACAATGTTACAAAAAAGCAGGATATTTACAGGTGTTTTTAAGAGCAGTTTTAAAAGAGTGACTGCTTCAGCCAGGCCTGAGTTGAGATGATACAGACTCGCACTGTACTACCATCTAGCACCTCTCAGCTGCCTGAATAGCAGTGGCACATACAGGACCTGGGAACAGGAGCAGTTGCTCAGCTGCAGATTATCCAGGCAGATAACCTGCTGCTATTTTGATGCTGTGTTCACCACGCTTCATCTGCTTACATAATGCATTCTTGCTCGATAAGATCAATATCATTTTCTGTCTGTACAGTTGCAGACACCTTAGACCATTCAAATTAATGTACACCCTTTGCTTGCCTTTGGAGTTCGATAATTCAACTTTTTTTTAAAGTTAGCAAAGCAACCTTCCACACGGCACCTTACCTCAGTGCATCTGCACCATAGCTGTTTACAACTTCAATCGGATCAGGGTAGTTCTTCTTGCGTTTGCTCATTTTCTGACCATCACTGAATGCAAAGAACAGGAAAGCGCTTTACGGCTTACACAATTTTTTTTGTAAATCACTTAAATTATAGAACAACTTAATTCAATTACAGTAAACTCCTGATAACTCGTCACTCCAAGAGCTCAATGGCCAAGTTACTCAGTGGCGTGTTAGGCATATGTATAATACATAAATAAATGTGGTCTAGATATTGACAGCATGATGACTTAAGTGGCTGTGACAAGTTAAGCCAGGATTGGGTTATCACAAGTATACTGTACAATTCAAAAAATATTAACTATAATTTCAATTTGTGTTACAATAAACACAATTCATATCTCATTCCATTACATCTAATTTTACCAAAGTCCATTTTTACTTCAACTCCGGTTTAAATTTAAAAACACATGACATAATATAACTCCAATTACTACAAACACATTATTAATGACAAATAACTTAGAGCAGCATAGAGCAGCTTACCTGGCCAGTACAAGGCCATTAGCTATGACGTTCTTGAACGGTGGTTTGCCAAACAGAGCTGTGGACAACACCAGCAAAGTGTAGAACCTGGGGGAAAAAAAAACACCCTGTAAATCCTGTGAAGCACTCAACAAGATTATGCACTATATCAAATGCTAGGATTATTATTATATCATATAGTTGAAAGCCTGAGCTAAACTTCATTTTATTTTCAATTACTGCTGGCCAATAACAGTGATCTTAACAAAGTAGTGTTATGCTGACACTGAATTAGAAATAAAAAAATGTTCTATTTCCCTGCACAATATTCCTCTTCTTGATGAAGACGTTTATACTTAAAAAAAAGTTTTTTTAAAAAGGTTACCAGCTCCAATCTCAATGTTTTCCCTGCTGTTTTGAAGCTCAGAACCTGCTAATGAACTAGTCACTGTATACACAATGAAACAGTTAGGGAAAGGGACAACTTTACCAGCCTCTGGTTTGGTCAATTCCTTCAGCAATGAAGTCTGCTGGGAAGCTGTCCTCAAACTCTCTCCGGTTTTCAAAGGGATAATGAACCTGAGCGTACGGCATGCTTCCACTTTCAAACCAGCAATCAAACACCTCGGACACACGGCAAAGAACTCCCTTTCCACAGCGAGACGGGATGGTGATATGATCAACACTGAAGAAAAAAAAGATTATATCAATAAAAGATCTGCACAAAAAGATGAAAGGGCAAAGCACCAGCCATGCCAAGTACAGTGCTGTGCATTGCTAAAATGCCACATCCATTATATCCATCAAGCATTTCCTTTCTTTAAAATGGCAATTCATACTGGGCTTCAGTTCCATACACACAGCCAGCCTTTCAGTAGCCCTTCAGACCATGGCTGGTTCTTCATTTATATGCCTGGACAGCAGAGGAGGAGCACAGACAAGCCTGATCAGACCACAGAAAGACACATACTTGTTGTCTCGCCCCCTGCATCTTCCGGTTGCCAGCCCAATAACATTTAATAGGGAATTAGATAAATATCGAGGATTAAGGGTATATGGAAGAATGGGGAATTGGGATTGAAGTACTGATCTTCAATGGAGTTTAAGCTTGATTGACCGAATGGCCTCTTCCTATGCTGTAATTTTTTATATGGATTCTATGAAATAGTTACAGATGGGTTATTCTGACAGCTGGTGTAAAGCTTTACATCTTAATCTTTTACCATTCAGATCTTTGAACAACCACAACTACAGTCACACAGCTGCTGCAATTTTATATGCGATCGTTTCTAAATCTGCCTCGAGATATCATCCCAACGAGAAAGGCACCATAAAAATAAATTTGTTTAGTATTGTAAATCCAGTAGGAACTGTTTGTGAGGATTTTTTCTCTCTAATCTATTCTCTGTCCCTAGATCCTGCCAGTAGCCCCTATACAACATACAAGCACACCATGGGATGTAGCTATTTCTGTGAATGAGAATTAATCCAGCCAGAGAACATATGCCCAAAACCCAATTATAAAATGTGACACTGTTATCCAGGCTGTGCTGAACAGGCTTGGGTTTCAGGGTACAAATAATAGTAGGAATGATTGGTTGGAGGGGAGAAAAGAGCAGATTCCATGATGCTAACACACAGAGTGAGCTGACTCACCTTTCCCGGTGAAGGTCTTCAATCTTGATTCCACTCAGATCTTCCAGCTCTGCCACTGATCCCACGCACACCACCTGGCAATAAAGGCATGCTTTCAGTTACAGCATTTCTATGCACAACCACACAACACACAGAAACCACTAAAGCACAGGAGTAAGGCAATGACCGACAATAACTAGTGGTTGTACTTATGATGAAATGCACGTGCATTGGAGGTACACCATTTCACAAGTCGGTATTAATTGGCAACATGAACTAACATATAGTACCCTTCATGCGAGTAGCTTCATGGAATGCTTAACGTGGCTTGATGTTGAGCCGGGAAGGGGCTAGAGGCACAGTTGAAGAGGAAAGTCTTTGGATAGTGATTTGAAAACAGGTACAGAGGGGGCAAGACAGAAGGATTGAGACAAGAAGTTAGAGATTCAGGGCATAGTGGCTGAAAGCACAATCACCAATTGTGGAACAGAGGGGACGAGGAATCTGCAGCAGACCCATGCCAGCTGAGCGATGGTGGTGGGTAGAGCAGGGGAGCATAACGGAGAGATAGGAAGGTACAGGGCATGAAGAGATTTCAAAGAGAGAGTAACAGGGAGCCATGGAGCTGTCAAGAACTGGGATGCTGAGAGTGCAGAGCCTGGTAAGGGTGAGGACATGAGCGGCAGTTTTTTTNAAATCAAAGCCACCTGCTAATCACAGCTCAGGTGAAGCCAGTGAATACTCACCTCTGGTAACCAAAACCTACCAACAGTTTAACGTTCAGATGAGCTTAGCTACCCAAACCTGAGCACACCAGAATTCTTACTGGATCACTGCTTCTGATATTTAGCTCAGTAATAGAAGCTGTGTATCCGTGAAGCACAAATATAAGTTCTATGTTGTGTAAAAAATGAAAGCTTGCACAATTCTGCCTGTGGCACAAAACAAGCTCCTTTCCATGAGCAACATGACTGAACTCCTGCAGAACATTTGCCAATGAGGAAATATGCTATGGCTAGAACTGGGGAGACAGCTGAGCCCCCTCTTTAGCTCCAACCCAACTCCACTCACACAAATTAAAGGGGATTGCATTTGCCTATAAAATTCACTTCAATTATTAATTACATTCTGCAACACACTTTGAGAAATTTGATTTTGCATGAAAGACACATTACAGTGCTACATTAAAGGGAATGGAGTGTCATGGAGAAACATCAAACTCCTCACTCTCCTTCTCTAGTGGTCCTGCATATTGGGAATTCTATCATCTGTTGGCCTGGTTTGAGAAAAAAACAGAATTGTGAAGAATTTCTATACAATACAGGTTGGATCCATGTAAGGAACCAATGGGAGCCTGCATTACATTGTGTAGGCGGCTTCACCACTCACCTCCTCAAAGTCGTCACTGACCCACAGGGGGATGGGGGTACCCCAGTATCTGTTACGCGAAATGGCCCAATCACGAGCATCCTTCAACCAGTTTCCAAAGCGCTTTTCTTTGACAAAGTCCGGAACCCTGGAACAAATATAAACAATTTATATATACGATTTATAAAGAATTATGAGAGTCTTACTGTATACAAATGTAAACTGTAAAAACAAATATGGAGGAAGTAACAGTAGTAAAAGCAGAAGGTCTGCCCTGTTCTGCTAATAAATGGCAAAACAAGCCTGAAGGGCTGAATGGCCTCCTCTTTGTTCCTATGTTACTAACTTTGTTGAGGAACAAGATCTTCTTGTAATCTCTGAACAGATTTCCTTTTTGCTGTTTGTTCAATGTTTTTTTAAAAAAAAATAGGTTCCTTCACCTATCATGCTTCAGGTTAATGGGGAAAAAGTGAATCATGACATTGAATTTCCAACTGTAATTGCTGCTTAGTTTCTGAAGTTTACATCCCTAGGTTTTCTTCCATCTGATAATGAAAAATTATTCCCAAAAGGTAAGGAAGTATTTATGATGAAGATTAAACAAATGCATTTTATTGACTGGAAGGTATGTGTAATGTGTTTTGGATGGATTCATTATTAAACCAAGCCTGAATACAGCATACTGAGACCTGTCTTTTTTTGCCTTGGTAATTACTGAAATCAATATAGCCCTCGTTTTAGCACAAGGACATTAGTCAATGGCAAGTCTAAGTGTTTCAAAATTCAATAGAAACTTTTCTATAGATTTGAATCATTTGTATATTTTATTCATGAAATACAAGTCGTTGATTTGGTTGTTTCCCAACCCCATTGGCAACGGTCCTTTAGCAGAAAGCATGCATCTTTGTAGCACACTATTACATTGAAATATCTCAAAGCGTTATAAAGGGATTACTGTCAAGTGTAGTGACTATTTGTAGGCAAACATGGTCCCACAAAAAACCTATGAACAATTTTTGTAGAGGGTTGTTGGCCAAGATATTGGGAGAAACTCCTCTCTTATCCAATAGAGCAACGGTTTCCTTCATGTCCACCCAAACAAGCAGACAAGTTCTGGGTTTTAACAACTGATACAAAGGTCAACATCTCTAATATTGCAGCTTTTCTGCCAGTATTGCACTGAAGTCCAAGTCTAAACTGAGACTCAAATCCAGGTGGACATTAAAAATCCGGCGGCACGATTTGAAAAGCAAACTCTCTCTATGTCGTGACCAACAATCCCCAAATAAAATTGGTCGCTCACTCCATGGCTGTTTGTTGGACATTGTGCACAAATTGGGCTTGTGTTTGCCCACAAAATACACAGTTACACCATTTTACAGCATATTCTGTGAAGCACTGATGAGACTTCGACGACTAATAAGGTGCTGTATCAAATGCAAAAATTATGAAATTATTAACCTTCTGACCCAGAGGCGAGAGTGCAATGAACAGCCAGAGTGACACACTTTAGCAACAAGCCCTTGTAGGAAAAGTCCAATGCATGGAAATTCGCACTTTTAAATTTTGAGTTTTCCTTGTGTAGATCATCTATCACTGTGGGAAATATGGAAATATCAGCTTTGCACTTTGACATTAGTGTATAGTGCTATCCACCCACATTGAAAATGTACTTAATTAGAATCACTGGTGAGCTCAGTCACACCACTGCTGGTGACAGTTTGGGAATATTTTAATTTCTGACAAAGGATTTTCTAAAATAATACTCTGCAAAACCAGAAGAGATACCTCGCAGGACAGTGTGATTCAATTAGAAATGTACAGCAGGGACCAAAACCATTCTGGGTTCTAAAGGTGCTTTACACACAACAAAGCAATAAGCACCAGGTTTTGATATAATTTTTTTAAAACGCTTCCTGTTAACAGTCAGGTGGGTAAATGAACCACCTACGTGGAGTGCTAGGGTACACACCAGAACATTGTCTATTCAATTCCCAGCTGTGCTATCAGCTGATCTCAGCCAGGACAGCAAACAATATGCTGCTGACACCCACCCACCGTCAAAGCTCAAACATCCATAATGGGAACTCGGGTGAGGGGCTAGGAGGGGATATGGATTTAAAGGCTGGAAGAGGGCACTAGAGGGAGGGATTTTGAGTTCAGAAAGTAGGGGCATAGTTGCTGAACGCTCAGTCATTGATGGTTGGATAGAACACTCTGTGGACGGCTTTACAGCCTCAGTCACTACTGCTCATCGATCAGTAAGAGGGCAGAAATACTGTAAAAACAACAGCTTCCCTCTGCTCAGCGACAACTCTGAGATAAATCAGTTCAACCATTTACCAAGGCCTAGATTTGAACAAGAATTCCTTCTCAGGAAGGAACATATTAAATGCATTTCAACTAAGCTGTGAATGCAGGCCAAATATTAAGCTGCACCCGATTGCAAAGGCATAAAAACACTGATCTTACCATCTTGTGAAATAATTCTGTGGGTATATAGAGTTTCAGTTTTACCATCTGGGCTCATGTAACCTGGCTAAACTCAGCGGCACGTTTGCTGATATGGTGCCACAAGGCTTACCAAATCCTGCAGCACAATCCTGCAAATGCTGCAACATTCAAAGGCAATTATGCATGGCAAGATTATGCTAATTTTGATCAAATTAATATTTATAGGGTATAAGCTGTCAGCAGTTTGAGAGCAGGAACATTTCAGTTCTCTCCGTGTAACTATCTGCCACAAAGTCGCTGACATGTGCTTTAAGTGCATATCGCTCATTCTGGTGAGAGAGGTAAGCTACAATACGTTTACCTATAATAGTCACTGGTGAATGTATACCTGAAATGGGAATTAGTTCATCTCAGGTGCAGTTTTATGAGCTTCAGATTGCAAAAATTAGCTGGAAGGAGATCTCTGTTTTTCTGCCAAGTCCATGCTATCATCCATCCAATAAAAACACCGGCCAATATAGGACAATTCTAGGAGTCCAGCAATGTCAATGATCAAAAGGACACAATATGAATGATAGTCGGTGTCAATGACACAATCGTTATCCCAATGACACAAAGAAGGCTTTCTGGAAAATGCTTCTCTTTTCTCCATATGCAGAAACAGGCCATGGATGATAGACAATGATTGATCCTGAATCAAGCATTTGTACACACTGAAGGATGGAGCTAATTCCACATAACAGCTCCTTTTGGTCAAAAGCACCTGCACCAGCACTAACTCCCATTAAAAATAAGAGGCAAACATTTGGGCCAAGAATCCCAAAATATGTTTGTAATAAATCTAGCATGATCCCCAGCATGTCTAACTACACTGCATTATGAACACAATGCTCCCAATGCTGTGCCAAGCTGAGGAAAATGGAGTCTTCAGTAACCTGGGAAACTACTCCAATGAAACATGGCTATTCTAGCTGCTGGTAACAGTTTGCACTACCAACTTCATAGTGAAGAATCATAACATCTCACCTTATAAACGTGTTAGTGTAACCAAAGATTCAATAGGTCTGTATCTCTAAACCAATTATTCCAGATTATGTAGAGTGAATACTCTGTAATGAAGGCTCACAGAGAAACAAAGTGTCTCCTTCAGAACTGAAGACCTATAGAAGAATAATACTGCGAGATTTGTGTAGTACTTCATGATTAAAGGCATAAAAATGTTTGCCTCTTATAATTAACATAATCTATTTTTCAACAAGCAACACCAGTAACATGCAGACTTGACAAGTTGACTGCTCTGTATGCAGATTTAACTCAGATAGGTACAGCCTCCAATGGCTTTTAACAACTTTCAAGATGAGTTGTATTCTGTCCAAACATTTGCAGCAATTTGAATGCGAGACTGAAGCATTTTGCATCAGATTGATGCAGAAATCAGGATCCCAATAAAGGATCTGTTCACCAATTCTCCTAAACTGTAGTAACATCACGTACTTCATGTCTGAAGTGACATGATATTACATCAAGGGCCGTCTCTGCAAAATGCTAACGGGATAAATTTGTCCTAGTGTTTGTCTCCTGCCAATGATATTCTAAATAAATAAAGTGTCACCCTGATGATGACATAACTGAATAATTATCACCTCACATTTCAGCTGATCTCAACTACTGAAATGGATATACAGTACAAGCAGGTTTGTGGGTCTTTGACATCACGGTTTGGTGCTGCAGTATTCCTCACCTGATTCCCCCAAAGCCCTGCCAGCCATGGCCAGAAACTGCACCATTAATATTCAGGCAACGTCCCAGTAATATAGCAAAGATCTCAGCTACCCTGTTCAATTAGTCTCTAGTTTCTGCAGAGGATGGACGTGCAGCTTCACAGATGATCCCTTAATGTAGCTGCATGATGGTTTCTCATCTCATTTTAACCCTAAACACCACCACAGCTGAAACTAAAATATACTGAGCAGCACAACAGGGTGCAGCTTGAGACACATAACAAGGTCAGATGTCTCTCAACATTGGGAGCACGGAACGTGACCAAATTCTACAGAATTCTAATAGGTCAGTCACAAATCTCTGACAAATGTATGCTTCAGCAGCACCACTTCTACCAGACACATTAACACTACATCCAGCCAGTAGGTTCTGTATGGAGTAAGCCATATGCGTCACTTTAATGTACCAAGTGATGGAGTAGCAGCCTGCTAACATGGACACAGCATTCCAACCCTTGAAAGATAAGACCTTTGCAGAACACTGATTAGGCAGAGACTGGTGCGACCCAAGTAATTCAGGATTCTCGTTTACTCTCTGCCATCTTTTTCACATACAATGACTCAGGCAAGGAGGCAGGTTTCTAATCTTTTGCCACCCTTACTCAGTAAGAGAGTGAACATCACAGCTCACCTTTTGACTTGGGGTCTATTTTCTTGTCCCTCAACTTGAAGGGAGTTTCTCTTTCCCGGTGTCCTGGCCAATAATCCCAAATAAAAAATTGGTCACTCACTTCATGGCTGTTTGTGCGACACTGCTGTGCACAACTCAGTGCCATGTTTAGCTCACAAAATACAGTCAATCCACTTTACAGTATATCCTGTGAAGTGTTTTGAGACGTCAGGATGATATTTAAGGCACTATATCAAAGAAAAGGATTATTATTGTTTGGACAATTGAGTTGCTACACTTCAGTAAAATCTTTGGTGCCCGACCTTGAATTTCGGAGTAGTGTTGTTCAACTCCTCCATTTAATATAGCACGGTTTTAAATCAACTGGATTGTGCATTAACTGGTACTATAGTAAACTAAACTAGTACTTAGCTAGTGCCAGAGTCATGGAAAGTGACCAAATAAGATGAGTAAGAAAACCTTGCTTTCTGATTCAAATAATTCTAACTAGATATATCCACATTATAAATGTAATAAATGTGTTGGCAGATAAACCTTGTGATAAGGATACACGAGCAGTTTACATGAAACCTGCCCTCAGATTATTCAACAATTTTCTGTAATACACTGGAACATCTCTATCCCCCCTCACATCGACCCACACCCACTTCAGACTCTAACACATACCTAGCTGACATACAATCGGATATTTGTATACTTCTGTTCACTTGGGATTGTTAAAGATCAAACATCAAAGGGAATTTAAAACTGCACATTAGTGTTTTGCAAAATGCTGAAATGAATGGCATTAAACACTACCATCTTGTGGCATAAACCCAAATGGTATTGACTGATGATCGAAGGCACGGTTGAAGAGGAAGGTCTTGAGACAAGCCTTCAAGGAGCAAAGGAGGGGCGACATTTAGATATTTAAATATATCTATTTATAGCATTAATGTGTAGTGTTAATGTATCTGGTAGAAGTGTGTGTATATGTATACACACACACACACATTTAGACATTTAAATGCACAGATTCTTTAAAATTGCACCAATCATAGCAGGAAGAATGGGAGATGATAGTAGATTGTCCCTTCTCCCTAAAAAGGAATCTAATGTGCTGTCCATCTCCCAGACAACCCGCACTCAGTACCACTGCACTGAACATCTTCAAAGCTGAGACTGATATTTTAAAAAATAGAGGGATTGGGGGATATGGGGATAGGGCAGGTAATTAGAGTTAGGTCAGAAGATCAGCCATGATCTTATCGAATGGCGAGGCAGGCTCGAGGGGCCGAATGGCCTACTCCTAATTCTTATGTTCTTATGAATGAAGGTCACATAAATCAATTGGCTCTATTTCACAGAACAACAGAATTACCCACTGTTTGTCCAGCTAGGACCACCATTAGGGCTTTGGCTTGCAGGGTTAACAGGAGCTGAGTGGGAGGATTCTCCACCACCAATGACTGGTCTGCCCTTACAAGTCCTGCCGATGGGCCAGGCTGGGCTGGCATCAGCAATGGCCTGGAATACTGTAGACCCGCCTGGCTCAGGAACCGGACTAGAGACGTCATAAGGCTGGTGCGATTCCGACATTCCGCTGCCAAACATGTCACCTTGGAGCCAGTTCAACTCCAAGTAGACCCCTTTTAACTCCCAAGCTGAGAATGTCCATGTTTTTATGGTCTATGCTTTGTGTTTTTTTAAAAAATACTGCAATTTTAAAAACATTGCCGTTTTTTTTAAAGAAACACAGTGAAATGAAAGCTTCTCGGCTCAGCAGTTTTTTTCCTTTCACGTTTTTGTAACTTACTAACAACAAGAACAAATTAAATATTCATGAATTCATTGGAATTGAACATGTATACACATGACTCCACTTTAAAGACATTAGGATATAGCTATTGCTCCCCGACGTAAACAAAATATACAGTTCTCTAAGCAGCTGGAGGCTTCCCATGTGAGAACAAATTGAGAAGAAACCGATTACTAATTCCAGGCCACAAAGAAAATATAAAACTGAAGTAACTAGCTCTGCAGAGCAGGAAATTAGAGCTTTGATTCCCACAGATGAGCTATGGTCAGTAAGTGTAGGATTTAAAGAAATTTCCAGTTGTAGGACAGCTGCTTTGGAAAGATTCTTGATTAGATTTTGTGAAGGCAACTTGCTGAAACAAACGCGTGATTTCATACAACACAACTGGGTTGCGTGAACTGCTTGGTGACTCAAGAGGGCAACAATTCAATCTTCAAATTTCTCTGAACAAGGAGTCAGTGTAAAATTCACCTCAAACATTTCTGTTCCCCACCCCATGAGAATGAGCTGATGATTCTCTCCCCCCCACCTGGATTCTAGAAATATCGCTCCAAAAAAATTCAAGATGTCACCATAAATAATACTATACATAAAGAGCTATTCAGAACGCACGAGATTCAGCTGAAAGCAAATAACGGTCACAGTGGGTTTACATAGTGTGGTCTCCTCTGAACGATATAAATCCAGCACCCTGGTGCGGAATCATCACAGCTCAGGTGCAGGGTTACAACCAGCCCCTTTCACGTGGGGAGTATGTCCCAAAGCACTTAAGGGAAGAATAGTATTGTAAGCATGTTATTTTTCTCCATTCCGGTGGGAGGATTTTGTTGAAGAGTTCTCTCATTTAGCCTATACTGCAATAAATCACATGCAGCAACCAAAAAAGAAAACAGGGCTGAAACTTAATTCAGAAATAGAATATGTTTGTGGTAAGAAATGGGGAAAAATGATCACATTGCATCCTAAAACTCAATCCTGCAGCAGAAAGAACACGTTATAGCATTTTACACTGTGAAAATAATAATAATCCTTGCATTTGATATAGCGCCTTATCACATCTTCGAAAAGTATAAAAGCGCTTCCAAGAATATACTGTAAAGTGAATTCACTTTTTACTTTGTGGGCAAAGCACGGCAGCAGTGTCCCATAAACAGTCGTGGATTGAGCGATTAAATTATTATTAGTATTTATGATTTTGAAGGGATTATTATCCTCCAGAAACTGATCCGCCAATCGACTAACATAAAATAGTCACCTCCAAATATCCTGTAATTCAGTAAATCCTGTGAAGTGTTTTGAAATGTCCTTCCGATGTGCTAAGGCATTATACCAAATGCAAGGATTATTATTAAGAATGAGGTGTGATTCTCAATAAGCAGCACTGCACAAAAAACGTTAAATCTGCCTTTCAACCATTCCACTAATTTCCCTCTGCTCTTTTTTTGTGTGGACCCCAAATACCCCCAAAAGTCCAAGCATTCAGGCAACGCATTACCAGTAGCATTTTTCATTGTTCTCCACCAGCTTATCTACCATGTGTTCAACTCGCACGAACCAACTTGGCACAGCTTTATAAATGAGTGGCGTATCTGACCTAAAGAGACAAAACAGGGACATTAAGCTGTGAAACTGCTGTTGGGAAACCAGGCATTTTATTGGCATATACATCTCACCAGATATACAACCACTGCGTTTACGTCATACAATTTATATAAAATTACCAACTGAATAAAAATATGAAGACCATTTCCTCATTGAAACAAAAGCAGATCAACTATGGACAGGCAAAACTAGAAGCATTATTTATTACACATTGATGAGATGTTATATTTAATGATTCTTCAATTGTCATTTCTCCACCTGAATTATACGGTGGTGTGTTTAAACGTTGGCTATAAAATAAACTTTTGTGTTTTACGCTGAGCTCAAGTGCTTTTACTTGGTATTTCTGAAATGCTTTAATTTTCTTTAATTAATCATTTATTTTCCATCTTTATAGATCTAAAATTAACAAAATACAAAATATTACAGTTGTGCAAATTTACAAACCTCAAATCCGTTTTTTTTAAAAAAAGAACACATTAAGTTATTTTTTACGTTTTCTAATCTCGACTTCCAAGATTTTCCATAACCAAAGCACAAGTTACGTTAATACAAGGCGTTGGCCTCACTGATCACAAAACAGCAAGTGAAAGGCAACTTTCAGTAGATCCCAAGGCAATCCCAGGCAGAACTAATACCACTTTTCAAGGAAAATTAACAGTTAAATTTGTTAGACAAGCAGATGCCCGAATACCAATGGAGAACTGGACTAGATTCAAATAATTCACCTTTATAGTAATAAAAGACATGTCAGGACATCGCTATTTATATCTCTGGGACACAATGCAATCAAAGGACCTCAATGTTCAATGATGTACTGCCACCTAGTGGCCCGAAAGGGCAATTGTCAAATTTACCAAAGGAATTTACGACAGGAGGTCATTTGGCCCTTTTCTTTTCTGGGACACTATATTGGTTGTGCCCACCCTTAGGAACTGAAAAGCCTATATTGTAATGGTATTAGGTGATTGAGCTGCACTGGGCAATTCTCCGCACGAGAGGCTACTCACTTTATCACGGCACTCACCTCCAGCAAAAAGGGTAGTTGTGTTTATAGGTACTGCTGTGAACCATTCGTCCTTTATCTTTCAGATACTTAATGATGTTCTTGTCTGCATCCTAAGAGGGTAAGTATTTAAGTAACAGTGCAAGATTTTTCAATCAAAACTCTGAAAAAAAATGTCTCGACATCAAGTATTGCATGAATCCGTTTAAAACTTCCAAGATGAAGTGAAGGCAACTGATTTCAAAAATCCATTGAAATATAATTTTTAAAAGTTTCTATTTATTTAGGCATATAGAGAAATCAAACTTTAAAAAGACAAACAGTAAACACTCTTCCGGACAGTGGAAAACTCCCAACCACTAACCTTCACATATTGTCCAGCAAAGTCTGTCACTTCATCTGTGAAGAGGCCCGATGCATCCACAGGGCAAACGGGTGTGGAATCTTTCTGGATAATGCCATAATCAACACAGATACGGAAATCGTCCTGCAAAAACCAGAGTGTCAGACACCCGGCACACCTTACAACAGACTGAGACTCCAATTTAATCTGATTATTTCTTCAACCACAGAACATTTCTAGCTTTGACTTTGTGGGCCAGATAGCAAATAAGCAGCAGTTGCTACTCTGTCCCAGGGAAAAGAAGTGAAATTGACTCCAATATAAGGAAACTCTGATCTCAAATCTGAGAGGCATTAAGTAAATGTACTTACTGCCCCAAAGTAAGGAGCTTGGTGCACCACACCGGTTCCTTCCTCTTCTTTCACGTATTTATCCACGAGCACAGTGAAGGCTCCACTTTCTTTGCACTGTAACAATAGCATAATTACTTTTAGCCCCCTGCATGCAACATGCTAGTGTATTTACTAAAGCACAATAATGAATCAGTTTTTTATACAATTTCTTACCACTAATAGAAAAGGTGTAACTACAGATGGAAAAATTAGACTGGTGAATAGTGTTGACACTTGCTCTCTTTAGAATCATGTAATTAAGTGTGATTATCTCTATTAAAAATATTCTCTCCAATTTCAGACCAGCTAATCTGTTATATTCTAACATTATTAAACAAATTTAACTTAAAAATTAATTCAAAGTTTTGCAAGGTATGCAGCAGCATTAAAGAAACTGGCTATAATTAATAACTCGTTACTTTAACATTCTAAAACAAAATAGCCAGAATAAACTCATGTACCAGCAACAATCCCCACTGGAGCTTGTATTGTTTTTATTAAACACCAAGGTCCATTATGACTAAACTCAGGCCTCAGAATTGAATTCACTATAAAATCATTTAACAGTCTGAACTGGTACAAGGTCAGTGCATTTAGTGGAGAGCAACAGAATGTGAATGAGATGCTCTTGACTCCTGCAGGAAACAATCAGTCCACTTCTGCTGTCAGTCACAGGAGTCAGTTTCTATAGCTGCAAAAAACGCACTTTAGCAATCGCTGCGAAGTTTGAGTGATAACAGCACAACCACTAATGTGGGCGTCCATCATATTTGGGGTATCACTTCTTAAAAACATTGAAGGAAGTTTCTGCATATTTTACGCCAAAATATGTAGAGATTGGAACGAATAAACTGTACTATTTCCTCACTTGAATGTGTAATTTGGGCTGGAACATAATGGAACAGTTGGCACAGTTAAGATGAAGATGTACCTAATTAGCACAGCCAAAAATTGTGAGTTATTAGAGCTATTGAGAGACACATTTTACTAACTTTATTGATTCACTTTATTCATTAAAAACACGAAGAAGTATCACTTCATAGATTGTCACAAAATAAAACCAATTAATGCAGGTGGCCCATTGGGGGGGGGGGGGGGGCAGGAATACCAGCGCATGTTGGTTGTTTTATTAAAAAGCGTAAAGCTGCCCTTGAAGGTTATGTCAAGCACTACATTGTTGCACACATTAATTACTATTCTTGGCTGTGATTTGCAGTTGTATAAGCAGCGTGAAATTCCCTTGTATATATAGCCCAGGTTTTGTTGAGTCTCCGTAAATCTTGCTGGTAGTGAAATGGACTGAACGTATTGCACATCAATAATCAGCATTAATGCAGTAGTAATTCCAGCCCGAAGCAATGAATCAATCCTACCTTTAAGAAATAATCAAACAATGGTTTGTACTTCTTGCCTTTCAGAGCAATACCTTTGAATCTTTGGGAGAAATAAAAGATACATTTTTAGTAGCCCAATATCCTCCATACATCTACACAATTGTAGACAAAGCCTAAATAAGGCCAATTGGTAATTAGACATTGTCGTTATTGCACAACTAAAACAAGGATCACACTTTAATTAAATAGCAACGGCACTAACCTGTCCAGAACAATGTACTCCTCCTCAGATTTAAAGAGAGCTACCAGCCTGGCTTCCATCATTATGTATATCTTTCCTGTAGAGTTATCTTAAACACATGGAACAATGAATTACTGAATAAGTTTGTCAAAAAGGTACATCAAGAAAAGTATATATAATTTTCTTTTGAGGGCCACAATAGAACAATAAATAATCATTGCATTTGTTTTAGTGGCTTTCACACTGAGAGAACCTCTCAAAAGTGTGTCACAAGACTTACTGTAAAGTGTAATAACTCTTTTGTAGGCAAATCCTGGCAGCTAATTTGCACACAGCAAACAAACAGGGAATGACTAATTTATTTGGGGATTTATTTAGGTCAGAACAATGGAAGAAACTCCATTCTCTTTTCAAATGGCACTATGGGATCTTTTAAGTCTAACTGAACAGGCAGACAGGACTTTGGTTTAACGTCTCATCCAAAGGACAGCGCTTCCAACAATGCAACGCACTTCAAGCACTGCACTGGAGTGTCAGCATAGACATGGGGCCTGATTGTGAAGCCTTCTGACTGAGAGGCAATAATGCTATCAGCTGAACCAGACTGACACCTCATCCCCTGACATAATCAGATGTGTGGCTCAATAGCAGTTCTTGGGGAAAGCTACAGCAGGGCTGCCCATAGCATTGTGAGGCTGGGTTCTCCATCTGCTACTCCCTACAGTGTGAGCTCTTGATCATAAGATCGCATTGATTGAAAATATATTAATGAATTACAAAGAAGTCTCACAGCCATTGTGCACACCAGCAGATGTGAAATTTACCTTTGATCTTCACATACTGGAATACTGGGCTAACACACACAGCCAAGTTGCTGGGTAAGGTCCATGGTGTTGTTGTCCAAGCAACCAAGGATACACTGGGATCCTCCTCTAATGGGAAGCTCACAATAACAGAAGGATCTTGAACATCCTGCAAACATTAGAACAAGATATAAAAATTTAAACAACCAAAAACTATCATTGCAGCTTTATAGGATCTATAGACAGGTGTATGAACTGCGAATACAATACAAAATTACATTTCTAAAGCACCTTTCAAGGATGTTCCAAATGTCTGACTCCCAATGAGGAGCATTTAAACTGTGGGTAAAACACCTTATAGACTAATATACAATAGAAGATACAGCTATTTCTTCCATATACCCAACTGAACCAAATTCATTTCTGTTATGTTAATGACATATAATTAAATTAGTCTCCGTATAGGATAGTGTCTCAAATACAAATCAATCCATTTTAAACAAGCTGGGAGGATGAAAAAGATAAAACAGTTAATTATACCACAATGTGGCCCCAAGATCCAATGTATAAACTAATGCTATCATCGCATCTCTGTAATTGCGTGGTTTGAAATCACACAACCTCAAATCAGGCGACATCTCATTCAGTAATGATATGGTTATCATCTACAAAGCAGAAGCTAACCTTATGATACATGGGCCACCCGCTGTAAGTAGACATGTCTTCAAAATTGTGGCACTAGTTTTAACTATGAAACAAAAATGATACAGTATTTTTTGTGCAAAACAAGCTCCCTTTCTCTCTTTTCCTATGTGTTCAGTCACCCCTGTAGTTTGGTTACAAATTCCATGTTTTTATTGTCTAGAGGCGCGAAGGGCTGAACAGCAAATCACTTGTTGTTAAAGATTTATACGTATTCCTGTGTACGTGAAGAACAACAACAATAATTCAGTCAGGCTCCGCCACTGTTAAGCGTTCTGAGACGCTACCCTGCATCCCTTGAGGGCACTATTAAGTTGCTGTTGTTCGTGAGGAAATGTCTCTCCCCCAGGATCAGAGTATAATACATATTTCAAAGTAATGCTCACCTTATAATTCTGATTCGACTCAAAGTTGGAGAGTGGAGTGTTGCACGCAGTGGAAAATGGCATAACTTTCACTCCTCTGTAAACCAGACCCTTGTCGTATAATTGTTTAAACACCCACCTAAAGAATGGACAGATTTCCAGATGCAATAAAAATTCATGACAAAATGAGGATCTATGGTTTAAATAAAAATAAAGTCTACTGTTACTTTATCAACAAGACTTACCAGACAGATTCCATGAATGAAGGATACAGGGTCTTATAATCATTCTTAAAATCAATCCAACGCCCTAATCTGGTGACACTGGTCTAGTGATAAAAATAAACAAAAAAAAGAACACTTTGGGTTTATAATAATTTAGAATGCCATTAATAGCTTGATTTGATAGCACATGAAATCAGATATAATAAATAAGTAAATACTAAAGTCCCTGAAGGCTCCATTACTGCTCCATAACAGCACTTTCAAGGAGCCAGTACAGACAGTGGGGCCCCTTTGATGTTAATTCTATGGTTCAAAAATACAAAATATATTTATGAACAGTTAATGTGAAACGGTACATTGATGAGTTTACATCTTTCAAAACCTATTTAACACTTCCTTTATTCCTAATTCATCATGGGTTAATGTACTTACCTCCCACTCATTTGAATATCTCATAACTATTTTTCGGCACTGCTTATTATACTCAGCAATCCCCATTTTTGCCACATCTTCGGGTCCTTTTATTCCCAGGGTCTTGTCAATCTCGTATTCCTGTTGTAAAGTCAATGAGATTCCAAGTTTAAAAAATGGATTTTGATGATAAAAAATTCAAATTTAAATAATTTTACATGTGACTAGCGTGGTTCTTTCCTCCACCCCCTCTCAAAAAAACACAATAATCAATATCCATTAGGTTAATACTTTTTGGAAACCTACCACAGGTAAGCCATGACAATCCCATCCAAATCTTCTCTCCACGTTGAAACCACTTTGGTGAGCGTATCTCGTCACTACATCTTTTATAGTCCCTGCAAGTATATGCCCATAATGAGGAAGACCAGTGGCAAAAGGAGGTCCATCATAAAATGTGTACCTGTCAAGGGCAACAGAAGTTGTGCATTAGATTACTCATTGAAAGTACTCTAGCATTAGAAAGCACTACTGTACTAATGTCATCAAATATGACCCTCTCACCTAGGCCGGTTTCTGGACTGTTTCAAGCACTCCTGAAAACAATCCAGTCGTTTCCAAATCTGAAGGATTCGTTCTTCCTCTGCAGGGAAGTTGATAGTCTCCGGCACTGGCTGAACCATTCTTTATGGCACCTAAATGGGAAGGAAAATATTAAGAATATTAAGATTGGTGAAGACTGCAGAAAATGTTGACATCCTACAACTTGCAGTTATATAGCGCTCTGAGACGCCATCCGGCGTGGAGGGCAGTATATAAATCCAAGCTGTTGTTGTTATTATAGGACCTTTCAAACGAGATAACATCTGAGCGCTGAATGACAGGGCACCTGCCTTCCTCTAGCATTATATTTCTGGTTACTTAACCAGATTGTTTCTACCTCTGCATCACATATTTTTTAAAACAGGTGTCCAAGTGGAATATTGGTGGGAACCGATTGCCCCATAGACCTCAGGAATGACATGATACATATTAGGCAGTTTAAACATTCTGGGGATTCACTAGCAGTCTTATGGTCTGGCTATAAACTTATAAACTACTCCCTTACCAAACCGCTCTGAGCTGGACATATGGGTGGATCTGCCATATGGGTGGATCAAAATTTAAACCCAAATATTTTCCAAACAGGTCTTTCAGGAGATAAAATCGGAGACTAACAGCTACTTGCTTAAACAAAAGTGTGCACCTGTCAAGTGCAACAGAAAACATCAGAACAACATTCTCACACTACAACTGACACTATTCGAATTGTCCAGTCAGTGATTTTGAGCGTATTCATGAGAATTGGAGGATCTAAGGTTAATACTTTTTGGGTTCAAAATTTTGAAAGGTTTCAAATGGACAACCATTGAAAGTTTTGCAAACCTGCGATAATTTAAAATTACTGGAGTGTAAAAAAAAACGAAGTCCGACAAAACAGTGCCGGACATCGGAGTCCTGTCGTGGTGCGAGCGCTCTCCTCGCCGGCGAAAGGACCAGGGTTCGATTCCCGGGGCAGGCGAAACCGAGGCAGGTTTCCTCAACTCCGCGCCTCCGGTTACCTTGCGGGAAGCAGGAACCCCAGTCGTTAGTCGGTTGGCGGACGGATGGCTTTTCCGAAGGTAATAACCCCTTCAAACAAAAAAAATAATAACGCGGTCACTCAACCCACGACTGTGCGTGTGTGCGGTGCGGTGCGGGGCTGGAGGGGGGGACGGACGGGGGACGGACGCCGCTGTGCGCAATTGGCTGCCGCGCTCCGCCCGCAAAATGCAACGGTCGACTTCACTTTGCGCTGTATTCCGTGAAGCGCTTTGAGGCGTCTCGGCGACGCGCGTGAGGAGGCGCTGCGGGTATCAAACGCGGGGATCGCGATACATTTTTCGCACATCAGAGCCTCTGGGACCGTCAGCAGAAGACGGGCCCCGTTTTAATGAGGCAGACGGTGGACCGACCGCCGCGCACACGCCCTCTCCTCCTCTCTCAGTCGCGCAGTATCTTTACTGTCCGCCTGAACGCAACGCGATCTCGGGTCAGGCCTCTCACTCCCTGAGCACCACAGCTCCAGCCCCCGGGCCCCGGCCCCCGGCCCCCGGGGCGGCCAGTGACAGGCAGCTCAGCTGCGGGATGATGCAATGCCCGCGGGCCCTCCCTCCCTCCCCGGCACCCAGGCGCGGGCTCCCTCGCTCCCACGCCCCAGGCTGCCCGGCCGGGGTGCGGCCTCGGTGTCTCGCCAACCGCGAGGCTGATCCTCACCTGTCGTCGGCCGCGGGGGCCGGGGTCGGCGGTGGGGCTGTCAAGCGGGGCCTGGGCTGGCACAGCCGGGCTCGGGGCTGCCGGGCGGTGACTGGGAGGCGAGGCCGGTGGGTGCCGATAGCTGACGCTCGTGTGTGACGGCCACACCGCGAGCCGGGCGGGAGCTCTCATCCAATCAGCGACAGCCTTCAATCCAACACCCGCCGCTCCCATTGGCCACCTGACCTCGGCTCACCCCGGCCCAACCCTGCCTGCCATTGGCCGAGAGTTTGGGGCAGATTTGCATAGTGCATAGGGCATCGCCATGGAAACTGCTCCTCCCCCTTCCAGCTGTGCTGCCATGAGCACAACCCGCCCACACCCGCCCACAACCCGCCCACACCCGAGCACAACCCGCCCACAACCCGCCCACACCTGAGCACACCCGCCCACACCTGAGCACACCCAGGGCGGGGGGGGGGGAGCAGGCGTCGAAAGCACGGTCAAAGAGGAGGGTCTTCAAGGTGGCGAGGGAGGGCGGAGGTGGAGGGACTGTGGGATGGAGTTCCAGAAGGTGGGGGCAGAATGGCCCACCCGCCAATAGTAGGGCGCGCGAGGCGGGGGATGTGAAGCCGGCCGGAGCCCGCTGAGCAGAGGGAGTGAGCAGGATGGTAGGGGTTTAGGAGGTGGCAGAGGTCAGCAAGACCATGGAGGGCTTTCAAGGTGAGGACCAGGATCTTGAACTGTATCCTCTGTGTGATGGGAAGCCAGTGGAGTCAGGCGAGGATGGGGGTGACAGGGTCACAGATCCTGGTGCAGAAGAGGACACGGGCTGCAGAGTACTGGATGATCTGCAGCCTATGGAGGGAGGAGTTTGCCGAGAAGCAGGGAGTTTACATAGTCAGGCCTCGATGTAATGAATGCGTGTATGAAGGTTTTGGCGGTCTCCGGTGTGAGACAGTGGCGGAGCCGAGCGATGTTGCGGAGGTGGGGGAAGGCAGAGCGGGTCATGGCACAGATGTGGGGTAGAAAGGATAGTTGAGGGTCAAACAAGACGCCAAGGTTCTGGAGGCTTAGCAAGGTGGAGTGTGCAACCATGGATAGTGATGCTGTCAGCGCGAGGTGAAAACACATGTAATAATAATAAGAATCATCCTTGCATTTGATATAGTACTTTTCATATCCAGAAGATGTCCCAAAGCGCTTCACCAAATATACTGTAAAGTGAATTGACTATATTTGTGGACGAAGCACGGCAACCAATTGCGCACATGGTCATTTAATTATTAGCAAATATAACTATTATTAATTATTATTAAAACAGCCAAGCAAGGTGTTTCATACCCCAAATCTGGTCCATCACAAACACCATATTTTTCTGTCTCAGCTTCATTTGCCACTTCCTCGTTCTGCTCTCTCTCTCTCTCTACGTTCAGAATTATCTTCAATGTGCCATTCATTCCTACAATAATAGGTGCAAGTTGTTGTTGACTCAAACTAAGGTCTCAGAAGCAAAAGTGGGGTCTTCTATTCACTGAACCACCCGCTTCCCACGTGGAGAGGGCGAAAGAAAATGTATTTTGGTTTCTAAACTTAAAAGTAAATCTGTTTTAAAAAAATAATATATTGTTACGAAAACAGCCTCGGCAAGAAAACCGAGGTCTCTGAGTAATAATCACCGGTTCAAAAACATTCTGTGACTGCATTCAAACGGTGGGAAACGTGACTGTGTGTGGGGGGGGGACAGGAGGACAGGACAACAGGTCACAAGCGACGCTTCCAGGAGACCCCCACTCCCCCCCACTCCCACTCCACACCCCCTAAATGTTCTTGTAAACAAAGCGCAGCGCAGCTCAGAGTCACGTAGGCGATGGCGATGATTTTCCAAACTCGACGACCACCAACCAACCGGTTTAACAACATTGCGACACAGAAGCGCCTTTCGGGGCCACGTTCCCGTCTCACTCACTCACTCACTCACTCACTCACTCCCAAACCCATTTTTGACAACAAACCTCAACCCCAACACTTTCACTCCAAAACTACAGCCACAGCCAAGACGGGAGCAACTGCACGAAAGAGACAGAAAGGGCGGGGACTCGACACTGTTTACAAAAGGGGAGGTGGGGGGGGGGGAGGTGGGGCCGAGGTGGGGGGGGGAGAGGTGCCTGAAAAATACACAGGTTTCCAAAATATAGATTTTTTTTGGTGTGAAAATAAAACGATAAGCATTGGGATGTGTTTAATAAGAGGAGCCTCACCCCCCCCCCCGCGCCCCCCCCTCTCTCTCTCTCTCTCGGGGCTGCGGCACATAGACTCTTCCACGCGAGTCTGGCAGTCTGATTGGGGGGGCGGGGACCGTGTGGGGGGGGGGGACCGTGGGAGGGGGCGGGCACCGTGGGGGGGGGACCGTGGGGGGGGGGTATAAAAGGCTGTGGGGGGAGCGAACGCCTCTCATTGCGCTGAGAGCCCGTGTCTGAGCCGCGGTCGGGGATCGGCTCACAGTCGCTCTCTCTGTTATTGCTGCGTTTGTTTGTTGTGGTTTTTTTGGGGGAGAAAAAAAATCTTTTTCTTTTCCCCCCAAAAAAATAACCTCCGAGAAGAGGAGCTCAGTGACTGTGTGGGTGTGGGCGCCTCGGGCTCTGGTGCGGGTCAGGGGGAGCGGCCGCGGGGAATGCACTGCCGGAGGCGTCGGGACAAGAACAAGTCACAGACGGTCCAAAGGTAGACCCGCGGTTCAGGCGCTCGCGGACGCGGAACCGACCCCCGCGCCCGCACCGGGACAGCTGCCGAGCGGCGGAGCATGTGAGCGGGATACAGGCGCTGCGGTCACACAGCACCGGGAGGATGTCCGGCAGCAGAGCGGCGGCTGCCCAGTGGGAGGCCGGGGAAGGGCGCTCGGACGTGGGCAAACCGGGCTGCAGGAGCGGAGCGGCGCCGCCCCGAGGGGCCGGGGGTCAGCCTCGCTGGCACCGGCGGCGGCGAAGGGCAGAGTTCGGGAGAATCCCGAGGGTCGGGGGGGGCGGCCGTGGACCACAGGCATCGTCCGCCCGCCCCCAAGGGGTGGCCTTGCGGCCGGTCAACCTGCGGGGCAACCGGGCGCCCCGCAACACCAACCAGTTCCTGATGCACGAGAAGTACCAGTTGATGCACATGAGGTCGGATTCCACCGGCGGTGAGAGCGGCGCTGACGCGGTGGAGTTGGACCTGGACATAGACGCCTGTCTGGGAGTGCTGGAGAACGCCCGCGGAGCTCTGGACGGCGCCGCGTCTCCCTCCGGGGAGGAGAACCGGTTCCGTATCAGGTTCTTGGGGCCGATCGACCAGGAGCAGAGTTTGCAGTACTTCCCATCGGAAGACGATGTGATTGAGAGCGAACACTTCATGCAGCGCGACTTCGCGGCTTTCTGGAGCGCCCTGGTGTGAGGGGTGAGACCCCCCCCCCGGGCTGTGGGTGGGGTGAGACCCCCCCCCCGGGCTGTGGGTGAGACCCCCCGGGCTGTGGGTGGGGGTGAGACCCCCCCCCGGGCTGTGGGTGGGGGTGAGACCCCCCCCCGAGCTGTGTGTGGGGGTGAGACCCCCCCCCCGGGCTGTGTGTGTGTGTGTGTGCCCCCCCTCTGGCTGTGTGTGTGTGTGCCCCCCCCTCTGGCTGTGTGTGTGTGTGCCCCCCCCCTCTGGCTGTGTATGTGTGTGCCCCCCCCCCCCCCGTGTGTGTGTGTGTGTGTGCCCCCCCCCCCCCCCCCGGGCTGTGTGTGTGTGTGCCCCCTCTGGCTGTGTGTGTGTGCCCCCCCCCCGTGTGTGTGTGTGCCCCCCCCCCGGGCTGTGTGTGTGTGTGCCCCCTCTGGCTGTGTGTGTGTGTGCCCCCCCCGGCTGTGTGTGTGATGGTGACATTGGGGGGTTTATAAACTCGGTTGCAGGGGAATGTGTAAATCAATCCAGGCTTCGTGGCGGGGGGGGCACTGCTCAACAACAATGTATGGCAGTTGTGACCAATATTTTGTATATTTGTTAATAAAACCCTTTTTTTTAGTGATTGTATTCTTGTGTTTTTTTGCTTTCTATAAACTGTTTAGTGCAGTTTGGAGCTACAGTCTGAAGACTATATATAACCTGTGATTAATTCCGTCAGCTTTTAGTTTCTATAAAACTAGTAGCTTTTTGCCGTCAGGTCCCCTGAGCCGCCGCCGAAAAACATTTACTTTTTACACCAGTCGTTCACTTTCAAAGATGGTGGAAAAGGGGAATCATTTAAAGCGTTTTGGAGAAAATCTTCTTCGAGCT